GCAGAAGAGGCAGGGACCTGGCCCAGCACTGCCCACCCTGCTGGCTGATGGCCACAGAGGGGTTGCTGTGTTGGCACAGCCTCACACACACTCAGGCTGGTTTCTCCTGAGGYGTGCACAGTCAGCTCCAGGGTCTCTGCTGGACTGTGGAGATGTGTCCAAAGATGTCTGTGATGCCTCCATGCCTCTCTGTGTTCCAAGGATGCAGCTGTCTCGCTGTATCAGTATATGAAAGCTACCCTGACATTTCAGCCTCCCCTCTGGGATCATTCAGGACATCGACCGTGAATCCAGCAGAAATGGCCCCTCTCCCACTTCCACAGTGGACAATAGCACTTCACCCTCAAGGGACAAGTGAAAGAGAAATAATCCCTCACAGTGAGGTTAAAATAGCACCAGCAGTAAWGTCAAGGGCAAGGCTGAGGATAACTCAAGGCAGACAGGGATAGCTTTTACAGATTCAATATGCAGATCTTGACAAAGCAACAGATGATCCCTTTCTCATTTATGTCTAGTTGTAAATATTTTATTGCCTCTCCTCTCACTGCTGAGTAGCTTTAATGGCATTCACTTCAGCAAAGGCCTGAGCTGCTGTAAATCAAGTACAGTTTGAGGCTACTCACCGTGGTCGTGGGCAAACACAAACAGGTTAAGTCCTGTCAGCTTCTGGGCCAAGTCATCGTAGCGGCCGCAGTGCTCCCCAGCGCCGTGGGCGATGAACACCAGCGCCCTAAATGGAGCATCAAGGTATAAATCATAAATCAACMCATGGCAAAGGCTCCAGAGCTTCACGTGAGACCAGCACACTCAATTTATCAACAGCATTTCAGACAGCAGCAAACAGCAGGCAGGTTTGGAATGGCTGAGGGGAGTTTGATCACGGGGAGAACCTGACCCACCATCGAGCTGCCTTCGCCTGGTGGGATGGATGACATGGAAACCACTGCTCRTGGCACAGAGCAGAGCCACCCTGGTCTGCTGGGAGTTAAAGATGCACATGGGCATCAGCAGCAGTCCCTGAGCTGGGTAACTCCATGGGGGCTTGTGRTTCTGCACTGCTCCTCCAGTCAAAGTGATGCCATTTGTTCCTTTGGGACTGGTATCTCTCTGTGAGTCAAATACAATGTCCTTTATAACTTTATAACTTGCAACACCATCTGATGTTCCAGAACACTCAAATATAAAATTTTAGCCAAAGAATGGGTCTCCAGCAGAGTCCAGAACTTTGGAGTTTGGAATTTTACCTTTTAACACAATTATGGTCATTTTACCATTCCAGTTTCTGCCCCAAAAGTGACTCTTACATAGCCACTGTACACACAGATAATTAAAAACCCCTGATCTAATAGACACCTGTTTTTGCAAATACTTATCTTTGAATATTCCAATTTTATGGATAATACTTTACTTTTACTGGAATGTCATCAAATGAGATTTGCTGAACATGAATGAACCTTCCCTGTGTTTTTGCTAAATAAAATTTCTATAGACTTCAGACTAGAACTACCGCAGAAGTAGCAGCGAGATTACAGAAATTCTGCTGGATTTGACAGGTGGCTATTTAAAATCCAGCTTCAGCAACATAAATATAACTTGTTTGTTTAAAAGGACCATTTGTCATAGCAACATCAGCAACCACAAAACCATCTGAAGGCTACAAGTGTGACATTTTCAGTACATGAACAGTGAAATATTACAAGAGCTGACRACATAAAACAAGAACAGCAGTTAAGAGCTAGGGAATTCCTCAACTTTATTCTGATTGAGATTTTGAACACCTTTTCAGACAATAAATTCACACCAATAAACTGCTTAGATCTTAATATATTTAAATTTAAATATATTTAAACTTAAAAACCACGTTGGATGATGTAGAAACTCCTGTTCTAGCTCTTCAATTAACACCTGCTTCAAAATATATGCTCAGCTAGACAACTTGAAAAAGCATCCATCCAAACCAGAAAGATTTGTACACAGTGCACTGCAAACACAAAGGCAACAAGGCAAAGATGCTCTGGYATTTGTCTAACACCAATTAGCAAGGGTGAGGTTAGGTCATGTACCATATTTAACTYGCTGTGCCTTGCAAATCGCCTTTAGTGCCACTGAAGATTGCAAAACAATCCGTGTGGAGCAATCATTCCTTCCTTTGTCATCATCCCTGATCCATGGATTTGTCAAGTTATCAATGAACCTGGCAGACAGACTGATTTGAGGAGTGTAGGATCTATTATTACAYCTCCCAATACTGCAGAAGTTGAGACATTGCTTATTCAGTGGAGAATATTCACTTCCTTCCTGTGGCTCYACCACCCTGATATCCAACTCAACCAGATTAAGTCTCACTGTCCTATATCTCCTACTGYCTTCAAGCTTGACAACTTCCTGGCTCAGTCTCTTACTAAAGCTCTTTAGAGGACCTGTATTTGTTTCTGCTGACTAGGCACAGAGATTAAGGTGCAGCTTGGCTGACTGAATACAGCCCTTCGTTGCCCAGAGAAATATTATTTGAATTTATGCACTAAATGGCACAAAGTGAATGAAACCTAATGGGAAGCTGGCAAAGAGATCTCTTCCAGGAAACTCTTGGTTCTTCACCCCTGCGACAGCAGAGCCCTTGTGTTGCTTTTATTCACACTGATGCAGTACCATGACTTTGCTTGTGAGCATCCTTCTAGATGCCAGGAACTCTCATTTTATGTGAAAAAAGATAAAAACCCAAAGCTTCACAGAGGCAAGGTGTTCCTGTGACCTTTTTTTCCACCTAGCACACAATTGYCAGGTCACAGAACTGAGCCTTTACACAGGATGGGGAGCAGACCTGGGTTATTATTTGTCTACAAAATACTGGATAAAACCCCTGAGCCTGTTTGTGCCTTAGGAGCAGTAGCTGTTGAAAAGACTTAGATACTTTTGAAAGTCCTATCAATAATCATAAACAAAGCATAAAATTTCCAATTTGTTACACTGAAACAAAATCAGCCTGTTCTGTTGTTCAATAAAAAGTGAGAGTGGTTTTGCTGACTAAAAACTAGGTCACATCTACACAGCTCTTTAGCTCCAGCTTTCAGGTCTCAGCACAGGGGCCATATACTGAACACAACAGTTTGAAAAATTGAAATTAGTAGGAGTATCATCTGAACAAGGATTGAAGGATTTGGCTCTTTCACTTAATCCCCAATTTTCCATTACAAAACAAGYTTAGATTTGGTAAATAATACCTGAAGGCAGTGTAACAAATAYGTGTTTCAACGTGTTTTCACTAGCAAGCTGCCAGGAAAATGCAACAAATTATTAGATTGACTGACAGCAGCTCTTTCCTGCATGTAAACATTTTCGCAGATATCCCTGCTCTTAAACCACAGTCTTCTCCTTTCTTACCACGATGGCTGGAATAACAGAGTATCAGAGATTGCTTTCAGCAGAGTAATTTAAAATTAATACAGTTCCTGCAGTGTTTGAGATTTTGCAGGACTGTGGTGCCTTTCTGTGCAGTCTCAATGAGAATTTTGTTTAAAAAGGTTTGTGCACTGGCCATGTATCAAACTGGTACTGGGGATAAATTTCTTCACCTCCAGCTTTTGCAGTTGTGCTGCTGAGATCCTTGGAAGTTCACACGTGTCAGGTAGAAAACTGCACAGCCTTGCAAAGCTCTCTGGAGACAGAGCYGTGCCTGAATTCCTTCTAATTCCTCTGCCTGACCACACACAGGGAAAGCTCGTGTGTCTTTGGACGCTTCAGCTGGCTGCGGCCGGTGGGTCTGTGATTGCTGAACATCTCGAAATAGCAGGGCTTTGGCAGATGCTCAAGAGAACAGCTCCTCTGGCAGCAGCAGCGCTCCTCTGGCAGCAGCAGCGCTCCCCCGCTCCCGGCAGCTCTGTCCGCACAAAGCCAAGGTGTGAGCGGGGCAGGTGAGAGCCCACAGCCGGCTCTCACCCCACTCTGCAGCAAGAATTACGGGCTGCTAAAGGAAACCGCTTTATTGCCTGCTGTTTGCAAAAGCAGCAGGTGGTTTCGCAGATCCCTGCCCTTCCCACAGCTTTTATCACCTCCTCTTCCTCCCCGCTGCAGGTTTGTGCCTGCCGGTGCGGCGCAGCTCGGCAAACACATGCAATTGCTTACTGCCACAAGAAGGCGGACAATATTCGTCTTTATCGTTCGAATCCGCTGCCGCCTGTATTTAGCTCTTTAGGAGGTGATGCCATACACCAGTGGGCTGTCCCTGCTCCCACCTCACCGTGCTGGTGACCCCTGAGTGGCACCAATCCCTCCGGTGTCACAGTTACAGCCTGCTGAGCTTTGTGGCACACAGAAATGCCACAGCCGCAGCTGGCACAGGGCACCTGCCAACATCCTGCCCAGAATTGGAGAGGGTAGGATTTGTGGAGGCCAGGCTGCAGCACAGAGCCAGTGTGCACAAATCCTCATGAACATATTGCTTTTCTGTCCTGCTTCTTCGAGATGTCACCAGCTGATCCAGGCTTTAGCTGTGTGCTGTGTCCCTATTTCTCACTGTGGCTCCACATCCACTGATATTTCCTTTCTTGTGTGGGGAGCAGCTTTGCAGGGCAGGGTKGTGCTTTGGGCTGCAGTTTTAGGTGGAAAGGCAATACCAAGTTTAGAGGTTCTCACTTTCTCTTTTGCTGGGTGCATGTTGCCCCATCTGCTGTGCCAAGACAATTGTTCAGAGATGCAGTTCCACAGTCAGCTGGAGGAGAACAGTGGTAGGGAAAATAAATTGCAGCACTGGACTTACACCCGTGAGTAAGAGCCCTCTTAAACCAAGGCTCAGTTGTTAGAAGAAAAATACACTGAAARCACACCCAGAAAGCTGCTGTGCTGTGACATTTCACAGGACTGAAACATCACTCGGGACAGGACTTGGGTCCTGCTGGGCATAAGACCCATGTTCTTGCTTTGCTTTCAACAAAAATCATGTTAGAACTGAACTAGACAAAGAAGGTTGCAAGCAGGATGGTGTGACTTTAATATCTTGTGTCCTCTGGGGACAGAGCCAMTTCTCTGGGGCCCTGTGCATTGCTCCTTTATTGCCAGAAAATACCCCAAAGCATTAGGACTGAACCAAAGAACGGAAGACAAGCTTCCTATGACTGCATATATGAAAAATGCAATCTTTTCCACCCCATTCAAAAGCACCCCTCTTCAGAATCATATTTAAGTATTTGCCTTAACCTCAGGAAACTTTCTTCAACGACATGAAAGTCAACAGGACTCTCAAAGCACAGGACGAAAGTTAARAACGGATTTATAAATGCTGTCTGGAATAAGGACTGATTTAATCACACACAAAAGTGATTTCCTGAATCAAGCCCTCACAACTTAAGCTTAATACCATGTTATTCTATGTTAGGCAACTGTGCTTTTCATTTGGTCTTATGGATGTTGTTACCAGAACCAGATCAGCTCTAACAAAGAACATCTGACTTGAGCAGTTTTGAATTCCAGACTCTAAATTCCTAAAGTCATTTTTAAAAACTAACTGACAGGAAAGCTCTGAGCCAGCTAAGCTGCCAGAAAAATGAYTGGCTTAAGTACTACATTTTGTTGTGTTGTTTGAGCTGATATATCAATTYCTTTGTAGCTGAACAATTAACCTTTATTTACCAAAAATTGGTGACATTTTTGGACAAGCAACTGGATAGTTGCTCACAGATCTTTCACTGWGTAAAGATGTTATGTGTTAAAGATATTCCAAAGTATATTGTAATG